GCCCAGTACCCACGGGACGGCGCAAATCCATCAGAAACGCCAATGAAGGTTGGTGGTGGAGCCCTGGACAGCGGAAGCCTGAAGGCAATCAGAAGTCGTCCATATGCATGAAACAAATTCCAATCAAGAAACATAACAATCAACCAACAGTACGTATCCCAACCATTTTGCTGGACATCCATGCAGGCAAACACGGGGCTCGCATGCGACCCATTTTGCCTGGATGGTATGTACCAGGGTGCCGTTTCGCTGGACATCCATCCAGGCAAACACAGGGCTCGCATGCGAGGCCTGTTTTGCCTGGATGGACATCCAGCGGAACACCACCCCGGTAGATCCTGCCCGAAACGGCGGCAGCATGTCCGTCGCGTTTCTACAAAATGGCTGGGAACTAACCGGTGGTTTAAGAAAGGTGTAATGGAGTGCCCTGCAGTGCTGACGTATATGTACCACCACTCCTCCAGAAAACAGCACCAACAGACTGATGAGACGGAAGGTTCCCTGGGCACCACCAGCTCAACCAAGTGAAAAACTATGCGTCAACCCCTGGGAGCCCCATTCCACAACAAAAGCCCTCAGACGGTAGTCCCACATAGTTTTTGACACCCTTTTTTTTGCCTGACGTGGTCCGAAACAACTCAGCCCCTAGGAGACCCATTGCACGACAAAAGCCCTCTGAGCCCATCCATGGCCACTCCCCAAGTCAGGCCTTACGCCAAGAGACCTCCCACAAAAAACAGAAGTACCATAATAATAAAAAAAAACTGCCAAAAAGGGAATAATTCTAAGCTACCAGAGTGGCCCGGGGTCACTTGCCCGGCCGGGCCAAAAAAATATATATATATATATATACTGTTGAGGGTTCAGCCTCCTGATGAGTCGGTGAAACTCTGACGAAACAGTTTGTCACAGCCCCTCGTTTGTTGTCCTCTTCTCCCTCTCTGCCTACGGTTTACCGGGCAGTTCTATTTGACGATATATGTCGTCAAATATATATATATTTTTAAATTTGATTTTTTATTCTACATTTGGTGAAGAATTTCGATGTGACCCTGAGGCAAAAGTCGGGCTGGCCACCCGGGACTCGGGCGGCCCGGCTGGTAGCCTAGGAATAATTATCAATAATAAGTTAATGACTGACATTATCCAATGATTATCGTGAAGTAGGAACTTACAGCATGGAGCAGCAGAGCATTGCAGTGTAGCATGCCATGCTATAGAATAGCATCACATAGCAAAGACTAGCAGAGAATAGGATAGAGATGAAGACATAATAGGAGAAGAGAGCATGTATACAGCAGACACAAACCACTGGAGACTTCCATGAATAAATGAGCGCTGTCCCACTGTCGGGGGGCATCAGCCGAGGCCCGCTGATCGCTTTAGGAGGTATACAGATATAGATATAGATAGAGAAAGAGATATAGATATAGAAATCACAATATTGAAATTTGATGCAATTTCGACATCATTAGAATGCCGGCAACGAATTTGGATGTCCACATTTGGATAAATTCCAGACGAGATACTAATCACACGCAACCATGTGATAGAGATGTTTGTCTACAATATACTGAACAAATATGTCCAGGGAGTACTCTGCACAGAGTGCAAACTTATCCTCTTGCCACTTGTCAAATACGCCACAGGCCGTACTCCCCTTAGATGCTTAGGATTTGAACCTGCGACCACTGTATACATAACCCCCCACACAACTATCATGCTGCTGTCAAATTACAGGACCAGAGGTACAACTC